TATTACTTCCAAGTAAGCGAGATGCTGATTGGCTGTCGCGCCAATTTCTGCCGCGCGGCAAACGTTGCCGCATTGTGTGTGCAGGAGCCAATATAGTTCGGCCTAGTTTATCAAGTATTGGCTGCATATCAGCGCGTTGAAGAGGCAAGAGGGGAAGTGTGCCGTTGCTTGGCGCCCGGCGTCATTGCTCACACGTCTCGCCGTTTCTCTTCTTGTATATATACATATTATAGCATCGTTTGTCATACAGTTCGATTCAAAATTCAAGGATCACCAAAATAAACAAAAGAAACGTGTGTTTTTGAGATCATTTTTTATATTTTTTTCATAATTTATGACTAATAATCTATACTAGCTTTATTTCTCATGTTATGACGTTTACTTTAAACTAGTGTAAAATAAAAAGATCTGAAATAAAGAAACTTAATAAGGACCCTCAAAATTCAACATTATTAGAAAAATAGGGCAAATGAGAGTACGGCGCGTACATCGCTGAGGATGGTCCCAAATGTGACCGAAACGATCGACTTTTAACAAGCTAAATATTTATGTTCTAATTTATTAATCATTTGATTTGTGAATTTTTGCACATCAAGTATCGCGTCATATTTTCATTTGCTCTATTTTTCTAATAAAAAGGTCTGATATCTTTAAATTTGAAAGTCCTATAACTCTATAAACTTTTTGATAACTCTATATATCTTAATTTATATATTTATTTAACTTTTAAATAACTTACTCCACAAAGATATGTCTCCTTAACATTCTTTTGCTTATAATAATATCTATATATCAATTTTTACCTCTCTTCATAAGGAATCACTATCTTTCCGATTGCACCATCGGTTTTAATATGGTCTATATATGTATATATATATGTATATATAGTATATACATATATATATGTGTATAAATATTATTATCAAAACATACACGTACAGTTTAATACACTTTTACGCGTATATAAATATATTTAATCATATTTATAAATATCATAATCACAAATTAAACATTTGATTATAATTTTTATAAAATCAACAATAAAAACAAGGGCTATGAACCAAGCTGGATCTTAATGGTAGAACAACTATAAATAACATAAGTTTATTATAGTTGTTCTAGCATTAAGATCCAGCTTGGCTCGTAGCCCTTGTTTTTATTGTTAATTTTATAAATTATTTGAACCTATTTTCTGTTACTATAATTTTTATATTTTTATCCATTCAGATAAAGTAATAAACATATTTTAAATAGCATATTTTAAATACGATTATCACAAAGTGAATATTACCGTGCATTATCGACAAACATGTTTAAAGTGTTAAACAAATAATTGTGCATAATGGATTACCTGTGCAGTAGAGCCATCAGTATGGCAATAGGGCTAGCGGTGGAGACACACAATAATAAAATGTAATAAAAATATGTAATAAAAGATAATATTGTGAAATGAAATGTTGGACGATTGCTCATAGTGCACTTGGCATATTACAAAGTAATGATAACTTTTGTCGCACTGCAATTTCTTTTTTGTATGGTATATACCTATATTAAATAAGTTCTGCGAGCATTCTCTCGCCTTTAATATCCTACATATACATTGCACGTGTATATATAGTTTCTTTTTATCATATCCATATACAGATTCGATCGAGTTCCAAACTTGACGACTATAAAAAAATATTGTATCTTTAAGATTTATTATGTACTACACTTCACGTAAATAACTGTGCAAACTAAGATGTATTACGGACTATAATTAAGGCAAAATGACAATTGAATAATTTGCAAAAGTAACCGGCGTTACATGGTGCATAAATGGTAAACCACGTGCTTGTGCTTTGCTGTGCTCGATCGCAATTTGCAATTGGTGTGTACATAGGTGAGAATGAAAGACAGACGTGCATTTTTGCTTACTACTAACGAGGAACTTACTTTTCGTTCTCCTCCTTGTGCATTCTTTGCGCTTCTCTCTTATCGAATCCATCTGTTACCAGAGCATCTAAGACAAGTGATTGCACTAATTTCTTGTCACCTGGAATGTGACAATCGTAATTATTAAAATGACATTATCACTTATACTATAAGACTTATATTATAATACTATTAAACTGTTTAAAAAGCTATATTGATATTGCTTAAAGGGTTTGAGATAAGGTTCTTTTTAATTAAAGTACACAAAAGTTGGCAATTTTTATATTTAAATTAGAAAGTTTCTATCGTGTCTTCTTCAGCTCGTTTTCATTATTTAGCCTAATGATTACTGGATATTATGAATATCCTTTTGAGAAGACGCTTGCCCAATAGTGCGCACTTTTCTTTTCATACATAGTTAGTAAAATTATTTTTCTATAAAAAAATGAGTGTATTACATTGATACTTGACCAACTTTTAGTTCAAACTATAAGGAATAGCTTAAGCAGCATTTTACTGCTCAAATTCTTCTTGTATAAATTATATAGTATGAAACAAAAAATACGTACTCTTGGGCGGTCTTATCATCCTAAACTTTAAGTGTTATTTCTCGCTCACATTATGGTCCAATATGGCAAATAAAAAGTCTTAAAATATTGTGATAACATAATCATTAAATAGACATTGCGGACATATTTAATTTTAATTGAGTAACGTTGATTTTTTTCATGAAATCTAACGCTATTTATTACATTCTATGAAAGTGTTAAAGTAATCCTTATTACAGTGTTTGATAATTAAAATTCTCGCATAGGGGCAGAATGGACTAAAATTTTGAAATTCGTCCAGCCTACCGCCAAATGCAAGCGCAAGACCGCCCAGAGAGACGCACGTTCTTCATTGCTAGACACGTTGTTTACAAACGACATTGGAATTAACGTGCTTAGGGACAACAAACGCGCCTCATTAGGCGGTCTTATCTCGTCGTGCGCGTGCATTTGGCGGTAGGCCAGGCGAATTTGGTTATTTTCATAAATTAATAATTCGTTAACTAATGCGAAAAATACAAAATGCTAGGACTTTTCTTCTCACAATGGAGCACACCGAACGGTCCCTCTCCAATTTAAATGAGGTTTTAGTATGTTGTTCTATGGGCAAAAATAAGAGATATGTATTTTTTTATATCCGCTGAGTCGCACCTTAAAGGGGTGGAAACCACCTTTGAAAAAAATCAGTTCTTTTCTTTCAAATTGAATATCGTCAAAACTGTAAGGGATAGAAAAAAATTTGCAGAATGAAAATTGAATGGTATTAAGAGTACTTTAGAACTACAGTAAAAAAATGTTTTTCTTTACAAATGAATAATTTTTATTATAAATGAATAATTAACAAAAATATTTTTTTATTATAGTTCTAAAGTACTCAAAGTTATATAGCGGATATCTTCGAAACTATAAGAGATAGAAAAATTTGCAGAATGAAAATTGAATAACTTTGAGTACTTTAGAACTATAATAAAAAAATATTTTTGTTAATTATTCATTTATAATAAAAATTATTCATTTATAAAGAAAAACATTTTTTTACTGTAGTTCTAAAGTAGGTACTCTTAATACCATTCAATTTTCATTTTGCAAATTTTTTTCTATCCCTTACAATTTTGACGATATTCAATTTGAAAGAAAAAAACCGATTTTTTTCAAGGGAGATTTCCACCTCTTCAAGGTGAGACTCAGAAAATATAAAAAAATATGTATTTCCGATTTTTGTCCGTAGAACAACATACTAAAAGCTCATTTAAATTGGGGGACTGTTGGATGTGTTCCCTTGTCAGTTTAATCCATTCTGCCTCTATGCGGGATTTTTATCGTTAATTATCAGACATCCCGTGTAATGTTAATTTTAAATAAATTTTTAAGGACATATACTAACTGACATCTCACGCTTTATTAGGCTATGTTCCAAAATTTACTGTCAATACTGGAAATCTATAGTGCACGTGATGTAAACTATTTTCAGTACTGGCAGTAAATTTTGAAACACAGCCTTATTTCTTAAGAATATCAATAAAATATGTAATTCTTGTTAATAAACAAAAAATAATTAATAATAGTTTATAAATGCTTAAAACTTAAATGCTAAAATTTGTGATACATGTATATTCGTCATTTGATGAAAAATATAATAATTATTTAATTATGATAAATTATCTGAAACTATACTATCGAATCCATATCTAATTTCTTTACTTTATTTTTTTCGCTCGTTTTACATATTATATTTTTCATATTTTTATCTTTGATTTATTAGATATTAAATTGATACGATATGTACTTACAATAATAAGAGTCTTTATCTGGCTTGCTCGCTTGCTTGTGATGCGAGCTAGGACTCCTTGGTCTCAAGGACATCCATTTCCATCCCGGTCTGCGCGTCCGTGCTAGGAAGTGCAGGACGCGTTCTTCCGGGGAGGAAAAGAATTTATCGGAAGCCGAATTATATTCGCAGTAAACCCAATCAGGATGCACCTTCCAATTGCTCCCCTTAAAATACTCCGTTACTGTAATGCAACGTTTAAATTCGCATTGAGATCCAAGAACTGCGTTATCAAAAACTGCATCATTTTGGAGTTATTTTAAAACAGTGCATATACAATTGTAATGAAAATTTACCATTTACGATAGCGAGCTTAATTTCTTGCTCGGCTCGTAATTCGAACATGCCATAACCTTCGGGTAGAGCCAAGCCTAAGGAAAACGGTGTACCCTCGATCGGTTTGTAAAAATAATTATGCCGTCTAATTGTAACTCTTTTCTGCAAATCAATAAAACGTTGTGTAATAAAATGAAAATTATATTATTTCTACGATATATATATACGAAACATTAATTATCACATTTATAATTGTTCTTTTTTTAATTTTTTACCATATCATCATAATGTATTTTGATTGTGAAGTCCGTCTCGCCTTCCTTTTGATCGATCATATCGCGTCTCAGCTAAAAAGAATGATATTATTAACATTCGCTATTATTAAATGTTTTTAAAAAATGATAAAATAATGAAAATGTACTTACATCAAGCAACAGCGAATTGTTCGGAGAGGCTGAAGGGCCATCATATTCTGCGAGTTCAACTTCCGATAGATCTACACTTATATACGAAGGTTTTAATGTTTCATCGTACTGGAAAAAAAGACGTACAATCTTTTAAATTTCTTCGAGATGAATGTTTTACTATACTGAATACAAGAGAAGTAGTAAACATAAACAAAAAATATCAACAGATAAGTACGAATAACGCACACAGTATGAAAAACTAAATTCTGTAATAAAAATTCAATACTTTAAAGTGTCATATCTCAGAAACTAGAAGAGTCCGCCATGTGTTTCAAAGTGTGCATGACTCAGGATTATATCGACTATAATTATATGTAAAAATCAAAGTTATTGGCGTAATCCTTTCGCAATAATTACCGATGTTAAAAGTGTTCATACACAGAATGTCCGATAAGTTTTGACAAAGCGCTCGTGTGTAAATAAAGCAGAATTAAATTGAGTCGAAAAATTTTGTATCATTTTGCAATTTTCGTAATAGTTACCAAGAAATTAATTTGTCGAGATCATTGAATAAGGGCGTATCCGCTGGGAGGGTTCCGATTGCACACATCGCATATTGCACACATGTATTGCTGATTGGCCAATTTAAAAATAAAATAATCTCATTGGCAAAACAGTAAAAAATTACTAGGCACCAGTTGATATGAGTGGTGTGCACAATCAGAACTGTAGGCAAACGGGATGACGGGATCCTCCCTATCCGCTCAGCCATATCATCAAATACATGTCCATCGATCGTAGGTCACTAGGCGGGCAGGTGGAAATTTGTTTACTACAAGCAACAATAGTTATGCACAAAAAAAAGAATGCAACTCCCTGCGCACCTAACGACTATGATCGATGAGTGTGCATTAGGCGATATGGCCGAGTGGATATATGAGGTCTGGATATACGAGATAAAATTTTATAGGAATGTAGTACTAACTAAATGTAGTCAAATCCATAAATGCAGAGTTGCGGAAATGCTTAGTTTTCGATATATTCAAATTTTATTTACTTACTGATTTAATTAATGTTTTTAAAGATTTTAACACGAAGAAATAATTAGAATTAAAAATTATTTTGTTGACTAGTGTAAAATCTTGAGGCGCACAGCGTTATCCGTGTACAAATTCCGCGTTTCTTCCGTAGATAACTGTTCAGCGGATTCGCGGCCGAGAGGGCTGGTTATCCTCTCTCTATTTCGGTGCACTTTCTGGCAACGGAGCACGGCGAGAATATAGTTTCGATGACGCACGCGAGCAATATGTTCGCGACACGACGCAATCGACGTGATCCTCGACGTGATCGTGTTGTCGACTTGTCGGGTTCATGGTGGAAATATATAAGGTGAAACAATACGCATAATAGCGGTAGCAATACTGGAAATAGCCAATCAAATATGTCCGAATATGTACTTTCCTACTGCGCATCTATCAGATTGCTCTACCTTATATATTTCCATCATGATCGGATCGATCGTCGAGATCAATGGCTGCGTTCAGCAGACTCAACAGTTTTGCAACCGTTTTACGATTCATCGCGCTGATTGGATTATACTTTTAGATTTAAAGGAATAGTCCTATCTCAGCGAAGAATCACAAAACGGTTGCAAAACTGCTGAGCTGCTGAACGCAGCCAATCTGACCACTCAGCGCATTACCGATGCGCGCAGGATCTACGCGATACGGCGCAGGAAATAGACCGCGCTATTCCTCTCGCGTGGCCAATAGCAATCGCAGAGTAGCAAACCGATGCTCACCAGACGAAGATGCGACATAAAAGCCGCGTAATAACGAACAACTAGATAGTTTTAAGCTTGAATATGCTTACTTAGTATTTAAATAGTTTTATGTTAAGTTAATATATTGGTGCGAAGTGACTTTCACCCACCTCCCCCTGCTTCAGGGGCGCGCGACTTTCCATGCGAAGTGA